GCACACATATAATCAACTGAATAAATAAATAAATGGGGGGGGGGAAGAACAACACTCTTACAGAAGAATTCCAGTTAATAAACGGGGTTGTAGGGAATAGAAAGTCACCATTAGAATGCCACAGCAATAATTTCTGAAGCAAGATCCATTGGTGGATGCTAAAATTAGCTGGTGAACGTTTAAGCAGAAATAGAATATTTGTGTAGTCTCCCTGCAAATATTAATTACAAAAGGAAGAATAGTAACTTTACAGTGGAGAGACTTGACAGACACCACCATGACCAAGTGATCACTGTTAATAGATACTGACATCACATACCTCCTGATATAATACCCTGAGAAGGGCATATCAGCTCTGTGGTAGCCTTCCCAATAAGGTACAACCTCAATTGAAAAAACATCAGACAAACCCAAATTAAGCGACAAGATACCTGACCAGTACTCTTCATGAAAGACAAAGACTGAGGAACTGTCACAGTTTGGCAGACTATGGAAACATGATAACAAAATGCAATGTGGGATCGTAGATTGGATCCTGGAACCAAAAAGGACATTAGTGAAAAAATTGGTGACATACAAATAAAGTCTGTAGTTAAGTTAGTAGTCTTATACCAATGTTAATCTTTTAGTTTTGAGAATTCTTCTATGGTTGTATAAGATTTTAACACACATGTATATACACATGTGTGAATATGCCTATATATTCATATATATAATAAAGAACATAGGGGGCATAGTTATTGATAACTTCTTAGGCATAACCAAATACCTCACAAGAGTGGTTTACTGGGTTTGAAGGCTTAGAACCATAGTCTCTTGGGAAAACTTGGTTATTTGGCTATGTTTTACATCCTAATTTGGTGAGTAGTGTCTGGGGTCTTAAAAGCTTGTGAGCAGCCATCTAAGAATACAACTGTTGGTCTCATCTGGAGCAAAAGAGAAAGAAGGAAACCAAAGACTCAGAGAAGAAACTAGTCTATAGGACTAATAGCCTAAACAAACCACGGCCTCATCTACCCTGAGGCCAGAAGAACTAGATGGTGCCCAGCTACTACTACTGACCATTGTGATCAGGGCCACAATAGATGAATGATGACAGAATGGGAGAAAAATGTAGAGCAGAACTCAAATTCTTACTAAGTCCATATTTACTGGACTGATCAGGAATAGAGAACCACACCCCTGCCCTTGCCCCAAGACTATCACCCTGAGATACCCTTTAAACCTTGAACCGAAACTACTCCCGGAGGTTACCTTTCAGCTAAATAACAGATTGGCTCATAAAACAAAAAAAATCACCCGTGACTACTGTGCTCCTTTAAAAACTCATCTATATGAGACCAAACAGTCAACATTTACTCTAAAGCAAAGATGAGAAGGTAAGGGGAGTGGGCAAACTAGATTGTTGGAAATGGAACAACTAGAATGTTGACACATCGTGAAAAATGTAACCAATGTCACTGAACAATTTGTATAGAAACTGTTAAATGGGAACCTAATTTGTCGCATAAACTTTCACTGAAAACACAATAAAATATTTTAAAAAAAGGTGTTAACGTGAAGCTGGGTGGAAGGGTATATGAAAACTTTTACTAGTTTTGTAGCTCTTCAGGAGGTCTAAAATTATTTCAAAAAGTTTAATTAAAAACTATACCCATCATGGCCACAATAGTTGGACCCTGATAGAATGGGAGTAAAATGTGGAACAGAATCTCAAATTCCAAAAGACAAACAAACCCAGACCTACTGGTTGAGACTGCAGGACTCCCCAAGACTATTGCCCTGAGATACTTTTCAAACCCTGAACCAAAACAAACCCCTGAGGTCACCTTGCAGCTAGATAACAAATTGGCTCAAAAAATAATGAGTATCACCTGTAAGTACTATGCACCTTTAAAAAATCACCTATAGGAGACCAAACGGTCAACAATTACTTTAAAACAAAGATGAAAATGTAAGGGGGCAGGGAAACTAGATTAATGGAAATGGAACAACCAAAACGGAAGTAATGATAATGTTGATGCATTGTGAAGAATGTAACCAATGTCACTGAACAACTTGTGTAGAAATTGTTGAATGGGAACCTAAACTGCTGTGTACATCTTCACTGAAAACACAATAAAATATTATTTAAAATATATATATATCCTTCAGTAACAGAGAAATTAAAAAAATAATAATATACAAAAAGAAGTTGCAAGTACTATGTTTCATAACGTTAAAAAGATATGTTCTTTAAATTGTGATTGTTGGAACATTTTTATTTTTTCAAAATTGACTCTTATGCAAAATTATTAACTGGTATTGCTCTCCACTATTCTAAAGGTTAGCTCAGATTATGTCACTCTCCCGCTCAAAAATCTTTAATGGCTCCTTATTGCCTTCTGATTACATTTGAATCGATCCCTGAGCTTCCTCTGCCCTTAAGAATTTCCCTTTCCCCACTCTTCTTCACACCCTATGCTCCCCTAAATCCACCTTGGCCTCTCCTGATTCTTCATCCCATACGCCTAGAAAATGTCTTTTCCCCAGACTCTATTTTTCCAGAGCCCACCGACGCTCCCTAACATGAAGAAACCTCACCATCCCCTACTGTGGTGTGACAGATCACTTTTGTGTGGCCTTTCTAGCCATGGTCTTGTAACTCCCACCCAAGTGATTGGGCGGGACTGGGCAGGTGTGGTAATTGCGACCCACCAAAGGGATTGGTCAGTTTTGCCGTCCCACTGGGCTTGAGCTGAGCCATCCCAGAAGCAGGAAAGAGATAATCCTACCACCACCAAAGAAGAACAGCCAGGAACCAGCACATCCTTTGGACCTGGGATCCCTGCACTGAGAAACTCCTGGACCCAGGAGACAGAGAGTGAACTGTAATCCTGAAGACAGCAAGAAGCGGCGGCAGAGACCTGGCAGCAGAGACCTGGCTGCAGGAGTCAGTGTGGTGGGCTTCCTGGCTCACAGACAGAGAGTTGAGTGCCTTTGGGCAGAGGCCTAGAGCCAGGGAGACGTGTGCATGCAAGCACGGCTGGGAAGAGGCTGTCCTGATGGAAGAACTGTATCCTTGAGAGTTCCTAAGCCTGAATTGTAACCTGTTAACTTTCCTAATAAACCCTATAATCGTGAGTATAGTCTGTGAGTTCTGTGTGGCCAGTGCAATGAATTATTGAACCCAGCAGAGAAGTAGAGAGTGCCATGGGAGGGGCAGTTGCTGTCAGAATTGGTAAAGATGGCAGAGAGGGGAGGCTTGTATAGCCTCCGCCACGTGGGAGTCAGCTTTGTGCTGTTGATCTTGATTCTCCTTCCCCCTTGTGAAGTTAGAGGAGGTCAGACACCACCCCACGCAGTTTTCACACCTACACTCACAGAGAGTCTCATAGAAACCCTTATCAAATGATGCTTCTGCCCAGGGGCTCTTTGGAGTGCCTTCCTCCAAATTTTCTAACTCATTCTTTCATACCTGGGACTGGATGGGGTCAACAGTACCATCCCCGCAGGGCTCCTGGAGCTTAACCAGGACCCCACGTGCTCCCTGTTTCCTATTTCTCCGCCATACACTTTTTTATCTTCTACACCAGCATGGGGTTGACCAGATCCCCTGAGGCTATCTAGGCTTTGTGCCTATACCATCATCTTGGAAAGACTCCCTGAGATGTTTGGTATTTTTTTCAAGGGATCATATGAGATTGGGCCACCAGAATGGCAATGTCACACTGATCTGGGATGACTCAAATTGTTTATATGAAGAGACTCCACCAGGGACTCCACACCCTGTCAATTTCTGTCTTGTGTTATACATGTCTTGCAGGGTCCATGTCTTAACCATGTCTGCACCCCACCCTCACATGGTGCCTATTTTAGTACCTTGTACCTAGTAGGTACTCAATATTTTTCAGAATGAATACCTGAAGGAATGAGTAACATCTCATTTACATTTTGTTTTGTTTTGTTTTGTTCCAGGAGTCTAACTATGTTTTCCTTACACACATTCCTAGATCGTTAACATTCTTCTTAGTGGCAATAAGGGATTTTTATGTCCCCAAGCCCTCCAGTCACTGACCTGACCGTTGATGTGCTGAAAGCTTATCAAGAAGGAGTAATCCCACCTCCAAATTCTCTTGAGAATAAACAGCAACTGAAGTTCAACTCCAAGACATGTGAAAATAGTCAAGCGTGGGAATGCTGGTTGGGTGGCTTAAGTGAGGCAGCCCAGTAGTTTGAACTGAACAATACTTTGGCTGCAACTAACAGTAGTGATAGAACATGTATTTGTCGTGCTTTGCTTTTGATCTTCTGCTCCAACGTTGAGGCTACTCTCCCAAGGGGGGCAAAAAAAAGGAAGATGTGGGTAAGAGAAAACTGACTTCATCCATCACTGAAATACTTCGTACCTGAAGCACAGCCACCTTGAGAGAAGAACATGGTGGCGGCTCTTCACAGTCACCTGATTAAGGGGCTTGGGTTTGGTCCTGACTCAGAGGAAAGTACTACACCACTGAGAGGCCCCCACACAACACCTGAGCACTCACAGCCAAGCCTGAGCTTGGCCCCAGCAGACATATGAGAAAAGATGACTGTCAGAGCCACCAAGAGGGTGGGAGAGCTGCTGTTGCCAGGTCCACCCACATGGATCACAATGACTGCATGAGGTCATGGAATGTTGAAGATGAAATGAAAGTGGCTCCTAAGTCACAAAGTCGCAGGCGGGTGGGCATCTTTTTGACAGGAATCCTAGGAATCGAGCCATACCTTTCTCCCTGATGAGCTCAGGAAGTAGCTTCCTCTGCGAGATAGAGTTGGGGTCAAATCCATGCATGTCCAATTCCCACCAAAGCCCACTCTCCCCAGGGCTTGCTGGGATGGAAGGATAACTACAGGCCCCCCTGGGATTTGCCTATGCAAAGGAAGTTTGAGACAGAGGTGAATGGACAGGTGTGCTTCTTAGGGAAGCAGCAGAAAGGTGGTAAGAAGCTGGCAGTAACCCCCGAGAGGGTCCCGGCACCATGGACAATGACGAACCTCTTGAATTGGAGACAAAAGGTGAAAAGGCATCCCATATCTCACCATTCAGGTCTTTTGGGCTGCTTCAGTATAACACCCAGTGATCACATGCACTCTGAAGCCCCCATCTCTCCTCACCTGGGACCCTCTAGAATTGGGATGAGGTGTTATACTGACTTGGGTTCAGGGCTTGGCAAGCAGGGAATAAGAGAGCTGGATGCTGTGTTGGAACTGGCTCCTACTGTCTCTAGCCAACTTTAATTTTCATTTTTGACATCACATTAGTAGTTTGAAATCAGCCATGTTGGGAATATTTACACCACATAAATTGGCGAACACTGCAAATCAGGATATTTTTCCGGAGAGCCAGCTGTTAAACATTTATCAGCACTCCACTGGTTGGATGGAATTTTAAGTGTTTGACTAATGAGAATATTAAGACTCGAAATGTATCACCTTCCTGAGGGCACACAACAGTTTGCTGGCTGAGCTGGAACAAAAATACATGACTTCTAACTGCCAACGACTGGTACTCCCAGCCCATATCACACAGACCTTGTCTCTCAGGCTGGGAAATAAATGTTGGGGCTGAGTCTATGGCTAAGGTTTAAGAAAGACACAGACTTGCGTAGACTCTTCTGGAACCCCACCATCCTAGAACTTGGGTGGTCAAAACTCAGCCCACCCAAAGAGTAGTAGGGTGGCTCCTGCAAAACTGTCCAGTCTTCCTGATGCAGGATGACTGAGCTCTGAACCCTGTACATGACTTTAGGAGCCCATGGCTAGTCCCAGATTGGTGACCCAGTGGTGGAAAAGCCCCATCTGGCAAGTCGAGGGCACTGGTGTGAGGGAAGCTCTCCTGTCCTCACCAACCTCTCATCAAACAGGACTTCCATTTAACCATAGCAGTTAATTCCAATCCAAGACAGATTTTGTAAGTCCCTCTTCTTCCTGGTCATGAAACAAATCTTGGATTGGAAGGAATAGAAACTAGGACAAATTTTTAAGAATCAAGCTACCTCTCTTACTGCCTGTTCCATTTTGTTTCATATTTGATCCAAGCTTCCACCTGCCCTCACCCTTGCCTTACCCCCACCACCTCCTCCTATCCCCCACCATTTGTGCTTGACAATGAGGGAAACTAGGCTTCAGGACACATCCCTTCATCAGAAAGAATAACAGCAGACCCTGGCCCCACCCAACCAAATAAGAAGCAAAAAGAGCGAGTAAGCAGCTGATCGCCAACGCAGGCCCTAAACAGGGAGTGGGGGCAGGAGCAGTGGGTCTCCTGAGAATACACGTGACGGGGTATTTAGCACAAGACCCCATGGACCATAGAGGAACCCCCAGCAAATGGCCCCATGGTGGGAAGGGAGGGTTTGCAGAATGGAGTCTCCCTGGCAGGGGTTGGGGGCCCTCTGCCCAAGACACAGAGGACTGATTTCACAGAAGGCTGGGGTGACACAGGCTGCAGCTGGGACCTGGGACCCAGGGGAAGGACGTGGAGGCAGAGGGAAGCTGGTGGCAGGTTTCATTCCCATAATCAAGGAGATGAGTTTCTTCCAGATGAGAACGAGCTTGTGCTGGCATCACAGAACAGTGATGAGACGCTCTACTGTGAGGCCGAAGCACCCATGACTGTTGAAAAAGAGAAACCAGCCCGGGAGAGTTCGGAAACAGACCTAGAGATCGAAGGTAAGAGCAAGCATTTGTGGGTGGAGGCAGGCTGGCCTCCTTCCTCAAAAACTATACTTAAAGCACAACAATTTAAAAAAAAAATCTGGAGAAATCCGGTTTCCCAGGAGCTGCCCTATCGCTCCTTTCCTCACTGGCCACGGCACTGCCCAGTGGGACATCCTTCAACAGGAATGTGGCTAGAAACGCCTGTGCAGAGGTTATGCCACGTCCTCCTCAAGGCTGGCCCGCCCGAGCTCATGGCCTGCCTCACGAGCAGTGTCCTCCATCAGCCTATTGAAAGCTGAACCAATAAAGAAACAAGGATTTCTGGTTTTCTAATGTTTCCATATATAGTATTTTATATGATATTTGCAATGGCTCCAAGAGGTCACCATTATTACTCCCCTCTTACTTACTTACACACTGCCCTGCTGGCACAATAGTTAAGCATTTGGCTGCTAACCAAAACGTCAGTGGTTTGAACCCGCCAGCTGCTCCAATGGAGAAAGACGTGGCAGTCGGCTTCCATAAACATTACAGCCTTGGAAACCCTACGGAGCAGTTCTACTCTGTCCTATAGGGTCGCTATGAGTCAGAATCAACTCTACAGCAATGGGTTTGGTTTTTTTAATTTTTTACAGAGGTGGAAACTGAGGCTCAAAGAGATCATGTGAGTTGCCCAATGCCACCAGCAGCTTGCCGAGCCAGTAGTTCACTGATTTCACATTCACCCCACCCTGCCAATCTGCCTTCTGTATTTCACATTCCAGGGGCTCTGGAGTGTTTCTGTGCCCATCTGCATCCGCGTGACTTTCCTCCACCCCCTTAGAGCTCTTGTTTCCCCTACTTGAATGCTCTGTGTCTCCCCCTGGCAAATCTAAGTGTGTCTGAGTCCTGGGGGCTGGATTTGCTGGAGCAAAGACTCCATCATTGCAGACAACACCTCCACCCTCTTCTTCCTCCCAGTTTCCCCAAGGAGGGAAGTGACAAAGAGAACATTTGTGGTGCAAAGAGAGAATGACATTGGCCACACCTAATGGGATTCACCTCATATTTCCCAGTCTGAGACTAGCCCAGTGGCCCTTCCTCTCCTGTATTCTTGCATCTGGGTGGTGGGCAGTGACTCAGAAGCAGCAGAGGTGCAGAAGGCTCTTCTGCCAAATTAAACTGTGAAACCCATCTACATAGAGTCAGCTCATAACCCTCCCCACTGTGGTCAACACACAACTTCACCCTCAACACAGACCTCCTCCCTGACTCTTCCCCCAGCTTCCTGATGCTCTTTTCCTGACTTCTTTTCCACTTCAAGGCTGCCACTAATATTGCTTTCAACACCTGATTTTACCTGGTTGGAGAAAGTGGCAATAGAAACACTGGATGTTTTACCCTAGCCTCCCCCTTCAATCTCATTCCTCCCATGCCCCCTGGCACTGTTGCAAGCTGCCTCTAAAATATAACCATATAGAAATGTATGCATATACATGTATTGGAAGGCACATGTGAGTAGTGTGCATGTACAGGAGTATCTGTAGGCATATGTATATACATGTTTATGTGCACCACATATATATTCATATATATAATAAACCACATAGGAGGCACAGTTACAGATACTACCTAGACACCACCAAACACCTTTCAGGATAGGTTTACAGAGTTTGAAGTCTTGCGACCATAGTCTCTTGGGGTAGCTTGGTCAACTGGCATAACATAGTTCATAAACATAATGTTCTACATCCTAGTTTGGTGAGTTGCGTCTGGAGTCTTAAAAGCTTACAAGCGGCCATCTAAGATACAACTATTGATCTCTACTCGTCTGGAACAAAAGAGAATAAGAGAAACCAAAGACTCAAAGGAGAAACTAGTCCACAGGACTAATAGTCCACATCAACCTCGGCCTTATCTAGCCTGACAACAGAAGAAATAGATGGTGCCTGGTTACCACTACTAACCGTTCTGACCAGAGACATAATAGAAGGTCCTGGACAGAAAAGGAGAAGAATGTAGAACAAAACTCAAATTCCTAAAAAAAAAAAAAAAAAGTCAGACTTACTGGACTTACAGAGACTACAGGAACTCTGAGACTATCACCCTAAGATACCCTTTGAACTTGGAACTGAAGCACTCCCAGTGATCACCTTTTATCCAAATAATAGACTGGATTATAAAATAAACAATACCACCCGTGAATACTGTGCCCCATTAAATAATCAACTATATGTGATGAAATGGTCAACATTTACCCTAAAACAAAGATGAGAAGCTAAGGAGGGGCAGGGAAGCTAGATTAATAGAAACAGAAAGAAAAGAATGAAAATAATGAGCATGTTGAGATTATGGAAAATGTAACCAATGTCATGGAACAAGTTGTGTAGAAATTGTTAAATGGAAACATAATTTGCTATGTAAACTTTCACTTAAAACACAATAAAATATTTAATAAATAAAATATAACCATATGAATACAACTAGAAAGGACCAGGCCCTGAACACATCCGATGCCAGCATCAAACAGATGAGTCCCAAGGGCAAAGCCAAGGAGTAGCTACTCTGCTTTGGTGGACTAGAACCACTAAGGACTGAATTTGATGCCAAAAACTCAAGACAACTCTCAGCAAAATAGGAATAGAAGGGAAATTCCTCGACATAATAAAGGGTATTTATGCAAAACCAATAGCCAACATTACTCTCCACGGAGAGGGACTGAAAGCATCCCCCTCGAGAACAGAAACCAGACAAGGGTGCCCTTTATCACCATTCTTATTCTACATTGTGCTAAAAGTCCTAGCTAGAGCAATGAGGCAAGAAAAAGAAACAAAGGGCATCCAAATTGGTAAGGAAGGGGTAAAACTATCCTTATTTGCAGATGGTATGAAAACTCTGTACATAGAAAACCCCAAAGAATCCATAAGAAAGCTACTAGAACTAAATAGAATATTTCAGCAAAGTAGCAGGATATGAGATTAATATACAAAAATCAGTTGGATTCCTCTACACTAACAAAGGGAACTTCGAAAAGGAAATCAATACCATTTACCATAACCCACCCAAAAAACCCATTGCCATGGAGTCAATTCTGACTCATGGTGACCATACAGGACAGAGTAGAACGGCCCCATAGGGTTTCCAAGGAGCAGCTAGTGGATTCAAACTGCCAACCTTTTAGTTAGCAGCCGAACGCTTCCCACCAAAAGATAAACTATTTAGGAATAAGTCTAACCACGGATGTAAAAGACCTATACAAAGAAACTACAAAACACTACTGCAAGAAACCAAAAAGCACCTACATAAATAGAAAAACATATTATGCTCATGGAATAGGAAGATTCAACATCGTGAAAATGTCAATACTACACAAAGCGATCTACAAATATAATGCAATCCTGCTCCAAATTCCAACAGCATTCTTTAACTACATGGAGAAACTAATTGCTACCCTTATATGGAAAGTAAAGCATTATTGAAGAACAGCAAAGTGGGAGGCCTCACATTACCTGATCTTATATACAGCCATGTAGTCAAAACAGCCTGGTACTGATAGAACAACAGACACATAGACCAATGGAACAGAATTGAGAACCCAGACATAAATCCATCCACCTACGTGAAGCTGATATTTGACCAAGGGCTAAAGTCCATTAAATGTGGAAAAGATAGTTTCTTTAACAAATGGTGCTGGTATAACTGGATGTCAAACTCACTCAAAATGGATCAAAGATCTAAATATGAAACCTAAAACGATAAATATTATGGAAGAAAAAATAGGGACAACACTAGGAGCCCTAATACATGGCATATACAGAATACAAAACATTACTAACAATATACAAACACCAGAAGATAATCTAGACAACTGGGAGCTCCTAAAAATTAAACACTTATGCTCATCAAATGACTTCATCAAAAGAGTAAAAAGAGAACCTACAGACTGGGGAAAAAAATTTTGGCTACGAAAAAGCCAACAAGGGTCTAATCTCTAAAATCTATAAAATACTTTAACAACAAAAAGACAAATAACCCAATTAGAAAATGGACAAAGGATACTTCACCAAAGAAGACATTCAAGAGGCTAACAGACACATGAGGAAATGCTAAAATCTATAAAATACTTCAACCCCTCAACAACAACAAAAAAAAACAAATAATCCAATTAAAAAATGGGCTAAAGACACTTCGCCAAAGAAGACATTCAGGCAGCTAACACACAAATGAGGAAACGCTCATGATCATTACCCATCAGAGAAACGCAAAACAAAACTACAGTGAATACTGTCTCACACCAACATTACTGGCACTAATCAAAAAAACAGAAAATAACAAATGTTGGAAAGGTTGTGGGGAGATTGTAACTCTTATGTGCTGTTGATGGCAATGTAAAATGATACAACCACTATGGAAAATGATATGTCACCTCCTTAAAAAGCTAGAAGTAGGAATACCATATGATCCAGCAATACCACTCCTAGGAATATATCCTAGAGAAATAAGAGCTGTCACACGGATAGACATATGCATACCCATGTTCACTTCAACATAAAGAACAACGATGAATCCATGAAATATCTCACAACATGGATGAATCTGGAGGGCATTATGCTGAGTGAAATGTCAGTCACAAAAGGACAAATATTGTATGAGACCACTTATTGTACAAACTCCAGAAAAGGTTTACACATAAAAAAAACTCAGTCTATGATGGTTATGAGGGAGGGGAGGGATGGGGAGGGAAAATCACTAACTAGAGAGGGAAAATCACTAACTAGATAGTAGACAAGTGTCAACTTGGTGAAGGGAAAGACAAAACACAATATAGGGGAAATCAGCACAACTTGGACAAGGCAAAGTCATAAAAGCCTCTTAGACACATCCAAACACCTTGAGGTACCAAGTTACTGGGGCTGAGGGCTTGGGACCATGGTCTCGGGGGACATCTAGGTCAAATGGCATAGCATAGTTCATAAAGAAAATATTCTACCTCTCACTTTAATGAGTAGCGTCTGGGGTCTTAAAAGCCTGTTAGCTGCCATCTAAGATATATCTATTGGTCCCATCACGTTTGGAGCAAAGGAAAATGAAGAAAACCAAAGACACAAGGAAAATATTAGTCCAAAGGACTAACGGACCACATGAACCACAGCCTCCATCAGCCTGAGCCCAGAAGAACTAGATGGTGTGTGGCTACTGCCACCAACCACTCTGACAGGGATCACAATAGAGGGTTCTGGACAGAGTGGAGAAAAATGTAGAACAAAATTCAAATTCACAAAAAAAAAAACCAGACTTACTGGTCTGACAGTGACTGGAGGAACCCCCTAGACTATGGCCCCCGGACACTCTGCTAACTCAGAACTGAAGCCACTCCTGAAGTCCACATTTCAGCCAAAGATTAGACTAGCCTATAAAGCAAACAATAACACACGTGAGGACCATGCTTCTTAGCTCAATCAAGTATACGAGACCAAATGGGCAATACTAGCCCAAAAGAAAAGATGAAAAGGCAGGAAGGGACAGGAAAACTAGACAAGTGGACACAGGGAACTCAGAGTAGAAAGGGGGAGAATGCTGACACATTGGGGGATTGCAACCAATGTCATGAAACAATCTGTGTACATAAATGTTTGAATGAGAAACTAATTTGTGCTGTAAACTAAAGCACAATAAAATTAGGGAAAAAAAAAAACTCAAGACACTGTGCTGGAACAGAAACTTGGCCTCAGCTGCTCTAGCTCCTGGCGCTCCTGCAGCTGGTGCTAAGATGCTGAGGATAGGACTGGAAGGGATTTCTGGGAGGGCATGAGTCTGGGTGGGAGTAGCAAGCTGGTGGTGAGGCTACAGAAGGGGGAGAAGGAAGCAGTTTGCTCACCCACCACTAGCCATTTTTCCTATATAAAAGTGGTTCCCAGCCAGGGGCAATTTTGCCCTCCAGAGGATGTTAGGCAGATTGCTACAGTCATCTACTGTGTAGAGACCAGAGAGCCTGCTATATATCCTACAAAGCACAGGACAACCCCTCACAACAGAGAATTATCCAGCCCTAATGCCAGGGTGCCAAAGTTGAGAAACCCTGTTCTACAACCAGAGAGAAGGCCATTTTGTAGCTGTACATGCAATATTAGCCTCCTCTTAAGTGCGTTGTCCTTTAACCAACAAAGCTCTCATTGCCTGCCTTAGAAATGTTTGGGATGGGTTGGCCAAAGGCCCTGGGAGCCAAAGGAAAACAGATGCAGACGTAGACCCAAGCAGGCCACAGGAAGCCTTGCCATGAACTGGGCTTGCCTAATGAGGGGACAACTACTGGGCCAGCCAGGATTCAGGGAGGCCAGATTCCCATTGGCCACCAGCCAGGCTCATCAAAAGCTGAAGGAATAAAGGCCCCAAAGAGGTTGGGATGGACAGGTGGAGTCCCTGATCCTATTCTGTTGGCTAGTTTTAGCACAGATCAGCTGTGTATGATCTTGGGCTAGATTTGTCATGGGTAGAACAAGGACGACAATCCTTTATATGAGGAAAAATGACAAGCAAGCCTTTGAAAACAGAAAAGCCTACTTAAATACAAGTTTGTTTGTTGTCCTGCTGATTTGGAGGTGTAATGAGTTAGGGAAAACTGCACACTCTGGGGGAGTAGTCCCCACTAGACTGCTCTTACTTCAGACACCAGCCGCAAGTTCAGGGGTCCCCAGGACCCCTCTCATTTAAGACCAGCTGGCTACAAATTCTCCACAGCCATCCTCAGGTTCAATAATTCATAGAATGACTGACAGAACTCACTGAATATGTTATACCTGTGAGTACAGTTTTATTATAGAGAAAGGATGCAAATTAAAACTAGCCGAAGGAAGAAACGCATAAGGCTAGGTCTGGGAGAGGTCCAAATACAAGCTTTCAGTCATCCTCTCCTTGTAGGGTCCTCGACAGCGCTTCCTCCCAGCTGCAATGTGTGGCAATATGCACAGAGTATTGCCAGCCAGGGAAGCTCACTTGAGCCTTTGCTGTCCAGAGTTTTTTATTGGGACTCAATCACATACTACTCACACAACTTACCTTTGCTTAATCTCTAGCCCTTCCCAGAGGTTCTGGCTAATATTGTTAGTCTCCAGTTCCTCCGGAGGTTAGAACTGATATGGCACGTCCCAAAGCCCCATGATAAATCACATTGTTAGACTGGCCAATGGCCAAAGCCCCCGGGCAACAAAGACAATCCTATCAGACAGGACACTCCAGGGGCCTAGAGATCACCTCCCAGTAGCTGAGGGCAAAGCCAGATCTCTCTTTGTTGTTGTTAGGTGCCACTGAGTTGATTCTGAATCATAGCAACCCTACAGGACAGAGTAGGACAGACAGGGCTTCTTAAGATACAAATCATTGCAAGATGGAAAGACCCCTTGTGTAGTGAAGAATTAACTTTACCTAAAGAGAGGTCCTCTCTAAATTTTTAGTAAAGCTTTATCCCTGACTCCCTGGTAGCACAAACAGTTAAGCACTTGACTACTAACTGTAAGGTTGGCAGTTGGAATCCACCTGGAGGCACCTCAGAAGACAGGCCTAATGATTTGCTTCTGAAAGGTTACAGCTTTGAAAACCCTGTGGAGTAGTTCTATTCTGCGCACGTGGGGTTGCTGGGAGTTGGAATCGACCAGACGGCAACTAACAACAACAGTGAAACTGAAATCAAAACGGAGACTTCCACAACCTCAAAAAACATCTGTTTTTGTCTGGTTTGGGCCCTTCAGAGTTGTCCCAAGGTGGGCAAGAGGGCTGGGACTTTGCACATCCTTGATGGTCACTCATGGGATACACCAGCGTGGGAAGGTGGGGGCACACTATTTTCTTCTCCTAGGAAAGCTTGGGGCCTACAACCAGGGTTGTCATCTCCTACCCAAAGGGAGACATCGTCTGGGGTTTCCTGGAGTTAGAGTTTCCCTCTCCCACCGCTGGCTGTCTTCCTGGACTGGAGTTGCCCTTTAGACTTCATACCCATGGGGACAGATCCTCTGGCAGAGGAGCTGGCATTCAGAAGTGGGTTCTGCCTGAGGTTAGAGGGAGATGAGACAAAGGTGGAAGAGAAATCCTACTTTATCCTGTTTCTCTTCACAGATTTCGAGAAATATTTCACCACTGGACAAAAGGAGTTGTACCTGGAGGCCTGCAAACTGGTGGGCGTAGTGCCCGTCTCCTACTTCATCCGGAACATGGAGGAGTCCTACATGAACCTCAATCACCATGGGCTGGGCCCCAAGGGTACCAAGGCTATTGCTATAGCCCTGGTGGTGAGCATGCCATGGGGGCACGTGAGACTTGGAGGAGGTGGGGAGTTGACAGGTGGTAGGCCTCCCGCATGAAAACTTAAATAGCAAGCTTCATGCCCACCCTGCCACTGGCTGTGCTTGACTGCCAGTTGATTTCCCCAACAGGCATGGACTCCCCTTTAGCACCTAGGAAGAAGGCTGCTGGAGTCCCAGAACTTAGAAGTCTACACTCCTTCCTATTCAGGAAGCAAAGGGGAAGGGGCTGGGCTGGGCTTGGGCTTGGGCTTGGGCCTGAGCGAAAGCGCAATACAAAGTGTTAGCCTGGGTCTCAATTCCAAAGCTCACCTTTGCTATAAAAGTGTTCACTATTTCCTTCAATGTGTGGTTTTTGGAACGTTATAATTCTTGAAGACCCCACTGTATAACAGATGGTTTTCCCACAAGAATAATGATATCTCTTGGGTTGGCATGGCCAAACAAGGACTGGACCTTGAACTCTTCATAGCTTTATATAATTACAATTAATTAGGTACAAAACTGACTTCCCTCACACACACACACACACCACTCAGAAATTTTAACAATCGTATATCAGCACGAACACTGTTTGTCAGTTAGGAAGGTAAAGAGAAATTTCAACATAGCTCATTTTAGTGGGGGAGGGAGGAGAATGTAATAGCAATTGTTCTTAGCACAAGCCCATTAAGAAGTTCCATGAAATTCGAGATTGTACTCTTTCTCTTGGGAGGGGGAGTAGGGAGGGAAGAGCAGAAAAAGCACAAAGCCATCCTGAAATACCCTGAGAGTTGAAATATTGATTAATGAAGTGTCTGGGACACACCATTACCTGATGAGTTTCATGGAAAAATGGATAATCATGAGATCCTCTCAGAACTTGGAGCGCTTGTTTCTTAGTAACAGCAGTTTCTGTTTTGGGGGAGTTTCTCCTCTGATTCTCTGGATCATTCATTTGACAATAATCATTGTGACATTCTGGTGTCACAAGAGAACCGTTATTTACCTTCTGTACTATTTAATTTTTCATATGTTTGTGTTTCCTTGGCTTAGATTAAAAGCACCCTGATAGTAAGGATCATATTTCATTCTCTTTGTATCTATTCCCCTGGGGCCTAGCCCTGTGCCCTTGCACTTGGCAGGGCAAAGGCCCCTGGAGAGCAGGGATTCTCCCTGTTCATCGTCTTTTCCTCAACAGTTAGCACAGAGGGTGACAAGTCGATAACTCACCCGCGGGACATGAATGTGCATAGAGTTGGTGACCGGGCCTCCCGTTTCAACATACAATGAGCTGGTCTCTAGGGTGACTCTGGAAGTAATGCAAGCTAGGTTTCTGCACACTGCTAAATAACACCTAGACTTTTAGGCCTGTGAGGACTTGGGAGATCACCTGAGCCATCTCCCTTGCCTTTGAGCACCAGGGAACTTTGCCCAGAGAGCCGAGACAAGAAGACATCCCATGAAGCCCTTGACTGGCCCATTCCACCTTGCAGTAGCTTGCACTGTCACATTTTCCTTTATCCTGGAAGGGGAAACAGCCCCTAAAGTTCCTTGCCATACTTGTTACTTCACTCACTGCATCCGAAGATTTGCCTATTCTCTGTACCTTTCTGTTCTGGGAAAAGGAAACCGTTGTTAGCTACTGTGGAGTCAGCCTCCAACTATGGCCACCTCATGCACAACGGAACGAAATGCTGCCTGGTCCTGCACTGCCCCATGATCGATTTCGGATCAGACAATGTGATCCATAGGGTTTTCACCGGCTGATTTTCAGAAGTAGATTGCCAGGCCTTTTTTCCTAGTCTGTCTTAGTCTGGAAGCTCCACTGAAACCTGTTCAGCATCATAGCAACACACAAGCTTCCACTGACATATGGGTGGTGGCTGCACAGGAGGTGCATTGGCCAGAAATCTAACCCAGGTCTCCCACATGACAGGCGAGAATTCTGCCACTGAACTCTCTGGGTGGTGCAAATGGTTCAAGTTCACCCAGAGGCACCTCAGAAGAAAGGCCTGGCAATCTGCTTCCTAAAACCAGCCATTGAACAACTTTGGAGAGCAGTTTTACTCTGACACACATGGGGTTGCCCTGAGTCAGAATCAACTGGTCAGCAACTGGTTTGGGGGAAGGAGTGGGGAGAATAAAAACTCAGGTTAGAGTCAGTCCCAGTTCTTCCTGCTGCGGCGCAAATAATTTCCTCTGCTTTTACTCCCAGTGGAAATGCAGGCTAGTTTGGATGTAACTGAAGGAGCCCTGATTTAAGTCCAGCTCCTTCCAAACAGCCTTGAGGCAGCTTCCTGATTAAAAAAGACAGTGCCAGATAACTAAAATAAAAGCCTCTGAAGGAAGCAGACAAAGTAATGATTTACAAACCTTATTAAATTTATCAATTTTCCTTAATCTGGAGTAGGTAAGAGTTCTGGCTCCTCCAGGCTAAATAGCTCACATCTGTTCAGCTCATCCTGGCACCTCTTACTCTTCAGGTCTTTAATTACTTGAACGTCTCTTTTCTAAATTCCCCCAGGGAAGCCCTTTCAGTGGAGGTGCGCAGAATAAACACACTGCCCTAGCAAGGCTCCTTGGGATGGAGCAACTTCTGTGCTAGTCTCTTATACCTATTTACTCCTCCGGAATTCCTAGCTTGGACCTCCATGCCCTCTGACCTGAATGGGCTGTTCAAGAGAGGGGACACGTTCTGGCATGTCAGGGAACTAACTTAGGTCACCAACCAACTCTGTAATGTCTTTCTCCCCTTTCTCTTGTGGTGGCTGAAGTCCAACACAACTATTATCAGCTTGGAGCTGGAAGACAACTGTATGATGGAGGAGGGCGTCACCAGCCTGGTGCAGATGCTGCACGAGAACTACTACATCCAGGAGCTGGTACGGTGCCTTCTCTACTGCTGCTTCCACCACACCTCGGGGCTCAGAACCCACTCAAGACCAGCCCAGAGGCCCTTTCCCAAGCCCAGACTGGCCCCCGGGCTGTCTGCGATCCTTCTGTGGGCTCCTCTCCTCTAGAAGTGGCTTCTCAGAGGAGTGTCATGTATCAGAACTGGCTGGGGGACCACGCTTCCTGTGGCCGTGGAAAACCCTAAGAAACCATTTCTGTCTGGACCTTATAAGCCCCTAAATAGATCATCTTACTTCTGTATAGTTGCCTTAAAGTGAACTTTTTCAGAGAAAATAAAGGCATGATAATTTTATAAAATATTATCTGCTTATCTAAAGTACTAGGAATGAGCCCTGGTGGCATAGCTGTTAAGCACTTGGCTGCTAACCAAAAGGTCGCCGGTTCGAACCCACCGGTGATTCCATGGGAGAAAAGATCTGGCGATTTGCTCCCATAAAGATTACAGCCTAGGAAACCCTCTGGGAGAGCTCTACTCTGTCCTATGCAGTTGCAAGTACAAAAGTACTAGGTCGCCATAAGTAAGACTTGACTTGATGGCAACTGATTTAAGCTGTTCCTGGGTGGCACAAACGGTTAAGTGCTCAGCTATTGACTGAAAGGGTGGCAGTTCAAATCCGCCCAGAGGCACCTTAGAAGAAAGGCTTGGTGATTTACTTCCGAAAGATCATAGCTATTGAAAATCCTATGGAATGCAGTTCTACTCTGAACCACATAGGGTCGCCTTGAGTTGGAATCAAGGCTATGGCAACTGGCTTTTATTTGTTTGCTTTTTTAAGTACCAGGGCTAAATTCAGAAATTGGGGAGTCATTGAAGCCAACTTCAGGGGAAACAGACCAGCCCAAGGGTCTCAGTGTGGCCGCAGAAGATCAAGGTTTGGAACCTGGTTTCCAGCTTCCCTTCTTCCTATTCTTTGCACTACCTCAATCCTTCTAATCCATTCCTCCTTAGCCCCTGTCCCTACCCCAACCCTACTCCCTTGGTGCAAACCAAAACCTGTTGCTCATAATGACCCTACAGGATAGAGTAGAACTGCCCTATAGAGTTTCCAAGGAACAGCTGGTGGATTCGAACTGCTGCACTTTTGGTTAGCAGCTGAGCTAACCACTGCGCCACCAGGGCTCCTCCTTTGGTGCAGACCTCAAGTAACACCACCCAGACGTCATTTATTAATGAAGGCCCTTCAGTTGAGTTTTTAACATACATAAGCGTTTTCTTGCCTTTTAGAATATTTCCGAGAATGATCTCGGTTTGGAGGGAGCCGGAATCATCTCACGCTTTCTCCGTAGAAATATCTCTTCACTCTGGAATCTTCAGCTTTCAGGTGAGCCCATGGAATAAGGAGCGAGAGGACATTTGGGAATTACAAGAGAAGAACAGGAGGAGCTGAGAGGACGCAAGGTCTGATTGAACTAGACCAGGTCCTCTGGTCTCAGAGACCAGAACACAGCATCTACACCCTGCAAAAGCCTTCCAACCCTCCTTTTTCTCACTCCACAGCCACACTGGCTTCCCCACCTTCCTCAATACTCACTTCTGTCTCACTTTGCACACAGGCTTCCCTCTTGAAATACAGCTTGAAATTCTCTACTTTCAGATATCTGCATGGCTTATTCATTCACATATCCTCTCAAATGGCATCTCCTTAGAGAAGACTCCTCCAACCACCGTATTGAAACAGCACCTGTCTGTCGCCGTCACTCTCCTGTTTCCCTGTTTGATGTTTCTTCATAGCATTTATTACTACCTGATCCTCTACTATACACCTGTTTTAAATTAGTTTACTCTCTGTTTCTCCCACTAGAAAAAAAAGTCACTTGAGATTTTTAGCACCCACAGACCTGCCCTCACTCAGGTTTGTGGTTTGAATTTATATTATATGCAGGGTCTTGGAACCCCTAAGCCAAGAAATTGACATTAAAAAGTGATCCCATGCTGGTAATACCCCGTGGGATGCAACAGAAACAAACAGAAAACCTCTTTGGAGGGATATACTTTTGACCCAGGCTGCGAGGGATTCCCACAGACAAAGCCTTACTAAAGATGAGCTTATAGTGCAAATTCGCAAAATACACAAGCAAACAGAACATCATGAGAATTGCCAAAGTCAGAAGCTTCAGAAAATAAAATTATCAGATATAGACTATAAAGAGAGTAACCATGTTATTTATCATTCAAATCGAGGAAGGGCATCATTAATCAACTGGAATTGTCCAAAAAAACTAAGATGTAGTGCACCCAACTGCACAGTATGATTAATATGATTAATAACATTTAAAAAAAAAACAAAGAAACATGGGGAAAGAACAAAACATTATTTTTAAAAGACAAAAAAAAAAATAGTACTTCTAGAAATGAAAAAAACAGACGTAGTTATTGAAATTAAAATCTCAGTGGATATGTTCAACAGCAAATTACTAGATATAGCTGAATTGATTGTATATCCAAGTAAAATGAAGTCTTTGACAACTTCAATCAATGCCCACGGAAGCAGCAGTGAAGAAATTGAATGCCATATTGCACTGGGCAAATCTGCTGCAAAAGACTTCTTCAAAGTGTTAAAAAGCAAAGATGTCACTCTGAGGACTAAGGCATACCTGACTCAAGCCATGGCGTTTTCAATTGTCTCTTATGCATGCGAAAGCTGGACAATGAGTAAGGAAAACCAAAGAAGAATGGACGCCTTTGAATTATGGTGTTGGTGAAGAATATCGAATACACCGTGGACTGCCAGACGAACAAACAAATCTGTCTTGGAAGAAGTACAGCCAGAAGGTTCCTTGGAAGCAACGCTGGCAAGACTTTGTCTCATGTACTTTGGACATGTCATCAGGAGGGACCAGTCCCTAGAGAACAACATGATGCTTGGTAAAGTAGAGGGTCATCGAAAAAGAGGAAGACCCTCCATGAGATGAGTTGACACAGTGGCTGCAACAACGGGCTCAAGCATAACAACAATTGTGAGGATGACGCGGGACCGGGCAGTGTTTCATTCCGTTGTACATAGGGTCGCTATGAGTCAGAACCAACTCGACGGCACCTAACAACAACAAAAAGCTGAACTGAAAATTACGGACCTGAAAGGATATTTTAGCTATCTTTGCAGCATAGAAAGATAAAGATATAGAGAATATAAAAGATAGGACAATAGACATGGAAGAGAGAATGAGTAGATCCAAACATACTTAAAAGGAGTTCCAGAAAGAGAAGAGAATGGGGGAGAAGTAATATTCAAACACATACTAACTGAGATAGTTCCTAAATGCATGAATTCTCAGATACAGGAATCCTAGTGAGTCCTAAGCAAGGTAAATAAAAATAAATCCACACCTGAATATATCATAGTGAAAATACCTAAGACAAAGAGATCTTAGAAGTATCTCGAGAGAAAATACAGAATTACAGCCTGTGTATATTTTTAACATAAATGTTATTACATGTCAGGTATTATTCTCTAGTTTTCCTTTTTTGTACTCTAAATATATCTTGGATTTCTTACCATGACAGAACAAATAAGTTTATGTCATTCTTTGGAACTTCTGAGTAGTATTCCATGGTTGGATGCAGCATAGTTTATTTGGGAAGAGGGCATTTAGGTCATTTCCAATATTTCGATCTTTCAAATAACAATTCCAAGAACTTTGTTCTGCATACATCTTTTGGGTACATGTTCTAGTGTGTCAGGAAGGATACCTAGGAGCAAAATTACTAAATATAAAGATATAGCCATTTTTGTGAGGTTAAAAATTAATTTCCAACTATTGGCCTCTACTCTACTGGAGCAAAAGAAAATGAAGGAAACAAAAGACCCAAAGAAGATACTAGTCCACAGGACTAACAGCCCACACCAACCATGGCCTCTTCTAGCCCAAGACCAGAAGAACTAGATGGTGCCCGGCTACAACTACCTACCGTTCTGACCAGGGACACAATAGAAGGTCCCTGATAGAATGGTAGAAAAGTGTAGAACAAAATTCAAAATTCCTAAAGAAGCCAGACTTACCCGACCAGTAGAGACTAGAGAAACTCACAAGTCTATCACCCTAAGATACTCTTTGAACTTGGAACTGAAGCTATTCCTGGAGGTCACCTTTCAGCCAAATAATAGATTGGCTTATAAAATAAACAGTATCACCGGGCAAGTTATTTATTCCTTCTGTGCCTCATTTTTTCACATTTATAACCTAGGGACAATTATATTACCTACCTCAGACAATGATTGTGAGCAAATTAAAAAACTAAAACATCCATAATAGTGCCTCGTACATAATAAGTATTCAATAAATATTCACCACTATTATTATCTTTATGACATTTCCACATTATTATTGAGACAGAGCATCTTTTTAGGTGTTTATTTCCATTTATACTTCTTCTGTGAAATGCCAATTGTTATATGAAGTTGTTTGCAGTATTGAGGGGTAGGCATTCTTTATATATTATAGATATTCATCATTAAATGTTAGACTGTATGGCTTTGTTTGCAGTGTCTTCTTACACAGAAGTTTATTGTGTTCATTAGTCTCTTCTATTATGGATTTAATTTTTGTAGTCTTGCTTAAAAACTGTTTCCTACTTCAAGATTATAAAAATAGTTTCCTTGATTTTCTTCAAATATTTCTATAATTTTTTTTTAACATTTGGGTCATTGATATATTAGTTACATAATAATATAATGTTTTTACATTTGATTGAACAAAATCTTACCTTCTTTTTCAAAGTAATCTTAGCTATCCTTGTGAAGTTTCTCCTCCAGTTAAATTTTAGAATAACTGACAAGCTTCACTGAAAAAAAACTGTTAGTATTTTAGTTGGGGTTGCATTTAACATTCTAGATTAATTTAGAAAATAGCTGACATATGCACAATATTGAGTCTCTTCATCTACGAACATGGTTTATCTCTCTATTCTTTAAGTCTTTGTTATGTTCAGTATATGTCTTGCATATTGCATATTAGGTTTAATTCTAGGTCTTTTAACATTTTATTCTTATGTGAATGGAATATTTTTCTATTGCATTTTCTAATTGGTTATTACTGTTATATCTGAAAGCTATTAATTTTTGTACATTGATCCTTTATCCAGCCACTTACTGAATTATCTTATTAGTGCTAACATTTTGTAGTTAATTCTCTTGGATTATTTAGGTAGATTATCATATCTGCAGACAATGAGAGCGCTGCTCTTCTTTCTAATATTTATAACTCCTAATGATTGTTTTTGGTTGCATTAGCTAAGACCTCTAACATAATGTTGACGTATTGCTGAAAGCTCTTTGTAAAAATACAAATTACCCAGACTGATCCCAGCTGCAGAACCAGAATCTTTAGGGGAGAAATCTGGGAATCTGTACCTTGTCAACTTCCCAGATGATTCTCTTACAGCCAGCTCTGCACTATTTGTAACCACTGATGTGAACACAATAATTTGAATAACTTATTATCTCATTCTATACATTGACTAACTTATTATCTCATTTTAATTGCATTGGTACCAGACACAGCCAAAGAAGTATTTGTGTTTCGATGGATGTATCTATTTATTCATTCATTCATTCATTCACTCAGCAAGCATTTATTGGGCACCTGTTATGTGCCAAGTGCTGTTTAAGTGCTAGAGGTACAAAGATGATTAAGCAACTGTCTCTGCTCTCACAGAGCCAGTGGCATGTGGAAGAGAGTTGGCAAAGCTCTGCTGGTCTGCCACCAAGTTAACTGGATTTTTCACCATTGCCCTTCATTTTCTGCCTTTTAGGAAACCACCATTTAAAAGAAAGCCTCCATCCCCCCCGCCACCACCACCCCCTAGTAAAGCTAGATGTTCAAATACAATGCCTTCATTTTAAAGTATTATAAAAATTACCTAGGTAAAAGTAGATCTCTTGAACTCTAAAGCAACTTGCAAAAACTCCTCAGGTAAAGATAAATGAATGAGTTTTTATTTCATTTTCCCTGAGAACTTCTACAATTTGCTCTTTCAGGGTTCAAAGGAGAAATTTGAGGACAAGGCTCTGTGTTCATTTATTACCCAGAAATCACTGCTGCTTTAGACTGCTTAGCAGGGAGCAGGACAGGCAGGAGGGTGAGGGCAGTGAGACACTCACCTTGGTCCAAAATGTAAGGGGATGCCAGGCAACTTAGTAATGAAGATAAGCGATATCTTAATGCAATATTTTTAAAAATCAAAATTAATGCAAAAATACATGATGAATGGCCAATAGTACATGAAAAGATGCTCAATGTCATTAGTCATTAGCGAAATGCAAATCTAAACCACAATGAAATACTACTTCACACCCACTAGGATGGCTATAATCAGAATAACAACAACGAGTATTGGCAAGAATGTGGAGAAACTGGAACCATCATCCACTGCTATTGGGCTTGTAATCTAAAATGGTGCAACCATTATGGAAAACAGTTTGGCAGTACCTCAAAAAGTTGAACATATAAACTGCCTTAACCCCGTTGCCGTCGAGTCGATTCCAACACACAGCAACTACCAGCAATTCCGCTCCTAGCAATTCCAAAAGCAGGCATGCAAACTGAGACTTGCACGCCAATGTCCATTGCAGCATTATTCACAATAGTCAAAGGTAGGAGAAAACCCAAGTGTCCATCAACAGATGAATGGATAAATAAAATGCGTTATAACCATACAATGAAGTATTATTCAGCCATAAGGAGAAATGAAGTTCTGATACATGCTATGACATGGTTGAACATTGAAAACATTATACTGAATGAAATAAGTCAGACAAACGACAAATATTGTTTGAAATATTCAGAATAGGCAGATGCATACAGACCAAAGTTCATTAGCGATTAGGTGGGGCAGGTGGGAGAGGGAAGTGGTGGCGGGGTATTACCTAAGCAATATAGAGCTTTTGTTAACGGTGATGAAAAACTTTGGAAACAGGTGGTGGTGATTGTTGTACAACATGGTGAATGTGGTTCATATCACTGACTTGTACATGTAAAAATGGTAGAAATGTTTTGATTCATTTATTTCACTACAATAAAATTTTTTTTAATTTAAAAAAAAATCATGATGAACAAAATACAAACAGGATCTGAGAGGGATGAGATTAGGGTGAGGTGAGCAAGACCTAGTCGGGCAAGTGCAGGGTCAGATTCTGTCTTTACTGAAAATTTTGTTTATCACAGTTTTTTTACAGTATTTTTGATTTTTAATAATACTGCATTAAGAAATTCTGTATCTGAATTACTGAGTTTTGGCATCCCTTAAATTTTGCATCCATGGCAAGGGCCTTACTCTCCTCACCCTAGTCCCGGGCCTGCTGCTTAGATGTTGTGTTAGCATTTTTTACAATAGTACAGACTTTCGGCACTAGGCTAAGAGTTGGTGCTGCCAATGGATGCCAAGGATATGATGTACCAACTTCTGAAACTTCCCGGACAGTCCTGGCAGAGAGAGAAGAGAAATGAAAGGAGGTGGTAAATAGTTGTCTTTTTTCTCCTGGTTTCTTCTGTGTCCATATAGTATTTGTTTTAAACACTTGCCACTGTTTTCTAATCTGACTGTTCCAAGGGAAGAGACGGGTAGGGTTAGGATCTGGATGGGGAGGGGAAGTGTAGCCTGGAGTGCATTGCTAATATACCTCCCTCGCAACAGGAAATAACTTCAAAGAAGAATGCGCAGAACTGTTGTGCCAAGCCATGTCGGTAAGAAGCAAGGGGTGCAGCCGGGAGACCTCGGGTGGGAGTCCTGGGTGGCTGTGTGGGCGTAGTGAAGTGGGGCCACTGGCATGGTTCAGGGGAGCTGGTGAATGTTGGGACCTGCAGATCTTTACAAAAGCCACAGTCAGTGGCAGGCCTGTTTGGATGGCACTAAATTCTCCCAGCAGCCAGCCATCAACAGTTGAATAAATAATGAATAAAAAGAAACAATAAGAAACTGCCTTCAGTCTTAGTACCCTAGCTCACATAATTTTTGGTGTATGGGAACCCTTCATCACACTGCCTGAGATAAATAAGATATTTGCAGACAGAAGAGAAAAATAATCTCCCTTACCACTGTTTCTTTCTCCAGTCCAATTACAGAATTAAGAAACTGGATCTGAGTCACAATCAATTCTCTGACAAGGGAGGAGAGCAGCTGGGACAGATGCTGGGTAAATCTCCCATGTGGAGGGAGGGCCAGCGAAGGGAGGGACTTGAGGAGGATCCCTTGTCAGAGCTGCTGCTGCTCCTTCTTTTCCTTCTTCTTTTATTATTGAATGTTCAGATTATAAAAGCGATGAGAACTACACCCAGGATACATTTTAAATGGATTCAACTTCTAGATGTGGGAAGTTAAACTTTAAAATGATTAGAAGAACATACAGAGAAATAACCAGGAATAACTTAGGAAGGCTAAGGATTATTAAAGCAGCACAAAAAAACCCGCGGCCATCGCGTCAATTCTGACTCATGGCGACCCCATGTGCTACACAGTAGAACTGATCCATAGGGTTTTCTTGGCTGTAATCTTTATGAAGTCCCTGAGTGGCATAAAAGGTTAAGTGATCAACTACTAGCTCAAAGGTTGGTGGTTTGAACCCACCCAGAGGTGCTTCAGAAGACATGCCTGGTGATCTCCTTCCAAAAGGTCACAGCCTTGAAAACCCTATGGAGCACAGTTCTACTCTGCACACAGGGGCTACTATGAGTCAGAACTGACTTGATGACAGCTATTGACATCAACAACAATCTTTATGGAAGCAAATTGCCAGGCCTTTCTTCTGAGGCACCACTGGGTGGGTTCAAACTGCCAACCTTTAGGTTAACAGTCAAGTGCAAATGGTTTGTGCCACCAAGGGACCTTAAATGTGGCACGGTAAGCATAAACTATAACAAAAACAATTCATATATTTTACAACAATAAATTTTAAACTTATGTATGATAAAAGACACCATGGACAAAGTTAAAAGGCAAGCAACAGACAGGGAGAAGATATTTGCAACATTTATATGACTTAAAAGACTAGAGTTCAAAATACTGATTTAAAAAATCCTATAGATCAATTAGACAATGATAAGTACCCCAGTAGAACAATAGTCAAATCATATTTATAGCAAAAGAAGACACCCAAATGCCCAACCTCTTTACTAGTTGAGAAATGTAAACTGAAACAAGATTCTCCTTATCTACCAAACGTGTAAAAATTTTAACGGCAGTGAATATTGAACACTTTGGGCACTGTGAAGAAAGAAGAGTATTCACAATCTTCTAGGTGAACGCACTTTGGAGAGCAATTTGACAGTATTTAGTAAAATTAAAAATGTATGTATTCTATGATCCTGCAGTTTTTCTTTACATGTCTCAGAGAAGTTCTCACACATACACAGAGTGATATGCAAGAAGGTTCCTTGCAGCATTGCTATAAAAGATTTTAAAAAGTGGAAATAACCTAAATGTTCTTTCCTAAAGAAATGAGGTGAATGCTATTCGCCAGTAGGAGGGCTGTTGTTGTTGTTAGCTGTCGTGTAGTTGGCTCCTGACTCATGCCAACGCCTTGCACAACAAAAGAAACTGCTGCCCGGTCCTCTGCCATCTCCATGATTGGTTACAGATGGGACCGTTGTGATGCACAGAGTTTTCATTGGCTGATTTTTGGAAGTAGATCACCAGGCCTTTCTTCCTAGTCCATCTTAGTCTGGAAGCTCCACTAAAACCTGTTCAGCATCATAGCAACACGCAAGCCTCCACTCACAGATGGGCAGTGGCTGAGCATGAGGTGCATTGGCTGGCAATCAAACCCAGGTGTCCCACACGGAAGGCAAGAATTCTACCACTGAACCACCGATGCTCATTTACACGGGATAGTGAAGGAAAACCCTACAGAGAAGGTGGCTTTTTGCTGAGACTTGGATAACAAAAAGGAAATAATCATGCTGAATTTTGGAGTCATAGCATTCCAGGTGGAAAGAGCAGAGCTTGGCATGTTTGAGGAACATGGGGGCAGACAGTGTGGATGCAGCAGAGTGGACAGGGAGGAGAGTAGAAGGGCATAGGGTCATGGAGGGGCCTGGGATCAGGTTAGGCTTCATGGGCCATGGCAGGAACGGAGTCTGGATTTTATTATTCGTGTGCTAGAAGTCATTGTAGGATTTTAAGTGGGAAGGGGTGATGTGACTTGATTTGCATTTTAGAAGGACTACTCTGTCAGCTGTATGAAGAATGCATCAAAGGACAAGAATGGAAGAAGGGAGACAGACCCAGAGGCTATTGTGGAAGTCCAGGCAAGACATGATACTAGCTTAGACTAAGGGTACAGGTGGTAGAGTGGATGAATTCAGAATATATTTTGGAGGTAAGTCCAAAAGGACTTGCTGAAGTGAAGAATGAGAGAAAGGGAGAAAGAAAGATTAACTCGTGGCCATTTTGCTTCAGTTACTAGTTGTATGGTGGTGTCTTTTACTTAAGTGGGGAAAACTCACGTAACAGGTATAGAGGGACAGGAGTTATAAATCAAGGTCTCCATTTAGGCCATGTAATGTTTGTGATGCCCATTTGACACCCATATGGAAACGTCAGGTAGATAGCTTGGTATATGAGTTAAGGACTGGCAAAGAGGTTAGGACTGGAGACACAAATTTAGGAGTCCTAGGCATAGAGAAGTATTTAAAACCATGGGACAAGATGAGATCATCTAGGCATAGAGTTGAGTGGGTGGTCATAGAACCAAACCCTGGGTCACTCTAACATTTTTAGGGTTCACAGAAGAGAAGGAGGAGTCTGAGGAACAGGAGGAAAACCAGGAAAGTGAAAAGCATCAAAGAAGTATTTCAAGAAGGAGGAAGTAGCCAGCTGTGTCAAATGCTACTTAGAGGTCAAATAAGATGAGGGCAGAAAAGTGGCCCCAGGATTTGGCAACACGGAGATCATTGGTGACCTTGACAAGCACTATTTTAGTGAAGTAGATGACATGGAAATCCAACTGGAGTTGGTTGAGTTGAAATGGGATGCAAAGTTGTGGAATCAGCAACATAGGCAACTCTTCCCAGAAATCTTGCTAAGAGGGCTGGAACAGAAAGATAAGGAGGTGGTAGCAGAGTACTATCGAGTACAGGGAGGGTTTTCAAGTATGGAAGATGCTGATATGGAAAAAAAAATCCAATGAAAGAAGAAGAAACTGATGATGCAGAAGAGGGAGAAGGTCATTGTGGACAAGAGCAAAGTCCACGAAGAGGCTGGACGCAATGGCATCCAGAACCAGATGGCAGGGTGGCCTTAGAGAGCAGGAGGGACAGTTCATTCACTGAAAGAGTGGGAGGCCAAGAGTGGGTACAGGTGCAAATAGGTTGGTAGATTTCTTGTTGGAAAGCTGAGGAACCTTCCATTGTATTGCTGCTATTTTCACAGTGAAATGCAAGGCAAGATCTTTAGCTGAGAGTGGGGTGGAGGTTGACAGGTTTGAGGCGAAAGAAGTTATGAGAGCATTTAGGAGGGAAAGAGTGAATGCACTAAGGAAAATGTAGAAGAATCGCTGGGCAGTTTGAGTTTCCGTTTGAAAACTGAGGTCATAAATGTAAACTGAGGCAGACCACAGTCTATTTTAATATGGTTATACTCATACTGTATATGCAGCTTTTAGAAACATTTTTATTATTATTAAAGCTGCCATTTATTGGTTACTATGACAGGCAGGAGTCCCTGGGTGGTGCAACAGACTAACATGCTTGGCTGCTAACCGAAGGGTTGGAGGTTTGAGTCCACCCATAGGCACCTCAGAAGAAAGGCCTGGTGATCTACTTCCCAAAAATCAGCCACTAAAAACTCTAGGGAGCACAGTTCTACTCTGATGCACATTGGGTCGCCATCAGTCAGAAGTGACTCAACGGCAGCTGGTGGTAGTGGGGTGTATGTGACAGGCACCATGATAGACATTTTACATCAATCCTCACAAAAACCCTATACAGGTTAATACCTCCATTTTAAAGATAAAGAAGTAAGGGGAGGATAAATACCCTCCAAGGTCACCAGCTAGAAAGTGGTGAGACAAGAATTAAAATTTAAATTTTGTGGCCATTTATTAAAAGATGCAAGTGTGCAAGGTATCACTGAAATAAGCGAGGTAATTGGCAGAGAAGAGGAAATAAGGATAAATAGAGAGAGAGGAGGGAGGGCAGAAAGTAGGAAGGGGTTAAGAGAAGTGGGGGAGGGAGAGAGAAAGAGAAGACGGAAGAAAGCCTGTTCTCAAAATGATGTACGATGTTGTGCACTTTACTAAAAGCACATCTTGGTGGATGAAAAAGAGGAGACATGATCAGTACACAGTACACTGTAAATAAAATGAAATGAAATAAAATAAATAGAATACATTATTCCTGGGCCTGAGGCCCGAAGGGGAGTCCTCCCATTCAGTAAAGGCTCAAAGGTGCCTTAGCCTCTCCTTCCAAAGGTGTCCTCAGCATAACTGCTCCGCCACAAATAAAAATAAGAATGATAAACCAGAAAACCAATCTCATTACCATTGAGTCGATTCCGACTCATAGCGAACCTATAGGACAGAGTAGAATTGCTCCATACGGTTTCCAAGGAGCGGCTGGTGGATTCAAACTGCCGACTTTTTTTGGTTAGCAGCCGAATGATTAAGCACTGCACCATCAGAGCTCCATTTTTTGTATACTTAGCCCTTAAACCAGTTACCATCCTGTCAATTCCAACTCCTGGTGATCCTGCGTGTGTCAGTAGAACTGTGCTCCATAGGGTTTTTAATGGCTGATTTTACGGAAGTAGATCACTAGGCCTTTCTTCTGATGCATCTCTGGGTGGACTTGAACCTCCAGCCTTTTGGTTAGCAGCCTACGGAGCACAGTTCTACTCTGACACATATGGGATGGCCATGAGTCAGAGTCGACTCGACAGCAACTGGGGAAAAAAAATACAACAAAAAACTTACCCCTTCCTCTGGAAGTCACCAATGTTACTTTTATAAGTGATGCCATGGTAAATATCTACAAGCATGTAGCTCTTCCCATATTCTGCACTGTCTCATTTAAGTAGAGTCTCACAGGTGATACTGATGTGTGATAGGGCATGCACATTTTAATGAGAAAATATCTGTGCACATTTTAATGAGAAAATATCTGTGACCAGATAATATTTGCCAAACAGATTCTACCAATTTATTTGTCACCTGCGATATGAGTATTTTTACATCTTTGCCAGTGATGGAGCTCATCTGACACTCTTGTGTTTAAATTAATAACTGAAAAAAATAGTACCTCACTATTTTACTTTGCATGATCATTGAGCAATCCTTGTCTCCAATGTCATGAATTTCTGTGAACTCTGGATGTGATTCTTTGGTATGCAGGGAATGCTAAGATGATTCCCCCTCCTTCCAGCCCTCAATGTAGGGCTCCAGATGCTGGATCTGAGCTGGAATCATATCCATACACGGGGCGCTGTGGCCTTGTGCAATGGTCTCCGGGTAAGGTGCTTTTTGGGCGTGGAGTTTTGAGCCCCAGTGAGGACGGCCAGGGCACCCCCATCCCCACCATCTTGAATCTGCTCCTCATGGTCACCCCTGATGAGGGCATACTAAGCTCTCATCAATTGCTTTTCATGTTGTTTGTCTTTCTTTCACAATTCCTGGATATACTTTATAGTTTAGTATAAATCCTACCCAGGTAAATTCACCCTGTGGAGTCGGGGCAGCATCTTTGGGGGCACCTCAAGAAGGTAGTTTGATTAGGGGATAGGGAATGACCAGCACACAAAGGAGTCCTGTACTTGGGACTCTGAGCCCAGCTGGGAGGGATCTGGAAAGATCTGGCTGACCTGCCTCTTCCGAGAACCACTGAGAGCCCAGGCTGGAAGCCGGCAGGGTTAGAAATCAGGGCCAGTGTGGGTGGAGGAGCCACATGCAATTTTGATGCTAGTACTGTTCTCCCCTCTCTCTGGAGTCTAATGTGACCCTGAAGACACTGGACCTCTCCATGAATGGATTTGGCAACAACGGGGCTCAGGCCATAGGGGAGGTCATCAAACTCAACAACTCCCTGGCCTACCTAGATCTCAGTAGCAACGACATTACCAACGATGGAGCTGCCAAGATCAGCAGAGGAATGGAGTCCAATGAAAGCCTCAAAGTCCTGAAGGTACAGTCTTTACCTAAGCTGGGAACAGGCTATTGTGTGTGCGCGTGTGCGTGCGTGTGTGTGTGTGTGTGCGCGCGCGCGCGCGTGTGTGTGCGTGTGTGTGCTGGAGTAGGGGCAGCAGAGTGATGGGGCTGGATATTGCAGAGAGAATCCTTGGGAAAATCTCTCTCATCTTTTCTATATGTCTATATTCTTGACTCTGCTGTAAACTCAATGTCACCCTCGTCTGTCACCTGGCGCCCTGCTATCATCTCCTAACCTGTCTTCCTTCTTCCCATCTGGGCCGACTCCAGGCTTTTCTCCTCCCTGCAGCCAGAGCATAGTTTGTGACCACAAATCTGACCCCACACTTCCCATCCCATCTTCCAGCTTAAACCTTCCAATGGCTTCCTGTTGCTCGAGTCCAATTCTCTGACCCCTGCGTGCCCCTCCAGCCTCAGTTTACCCCCATGCTGTCTCCGCTCTCCACACAAGGCCTCACTAGTCTTCTTTCATCTCCTTCTTCCTACCAGGGGTCTTTGTCACAGTGCTTCAGCCTGAGTGCTTTCTCTCCCTGCGCTTCCTCCACTAGCTTTAATTACCTCTGTGCTTCAGAGCACAGTTCAAGCAGCTATTCCTCGGAAATCCCATGGAATCCTCAGTCTAGGCTGTCTGCTCTCAAGAACCACATTCACTTCCTTCATGCAGAACTTACTGCACCTTCTAATGACACCCTCATTTGAGTGACTATTTGGTTCATGTCTGTCACCCCTATAGTGTGAAATCTTCATAAGAACAAAGATTGTGTTTGGTTTTGCCCATTATTATACCACTGGCACCTAGCATAGTGCTGCACATATAGAGGATGCTCCAAAACCAAACCCGTTGCTGTCGAGTCAATTCCAACTCATAGCCACCCTACAGGACAGAGTAGGGCTGTCCCCATAGGGTTTCCAAGGAGCTTCTGGTGGATTCAAACTGCTGAACTTTTGGTTAGCAGCCAAGCTCTTAAACACTGTACCACCAGGGCTCCATGAATATTTATTAAATGAGTGTATGAATGCCTATTTCATTATAAATGAATTTGCTTGCAGATGCCAATTTATATTATGAAGGCTTCTGAGCAGTTGGAAAATAGGTGAAAGATGAAGACTTCTGTTAATAGTTCCCCTTTCTGGAGCTCCTACCACGAGCCAGGTGATTTGCCTCATTATTCATTGCCCAAACCTACAAAGTGGGCTCTATTAGCTCCATTTGTCAGATGAGAAAACTGAGGCTCTATGACTTGCTCGGGCCACCCAACAAGCAAAAGGCAGAGGCAGCCAGCTCGACCTGGCTTTCCACTGCAACTCCTATTCCCTCAAGGTAGGGGTACCTCAGGGGGACTACAGACAAGGGGGTCCTGGTGGAAGAAGAATGGGAGTTAGGAATCAGTGAAGATGAGCCAGCCATCAGAGAGGATGACCACCTCAGAGCTGGCAAGGTGACAAGAGGAAATCGGATTCAGGCTGGTGGATAGAGCATGGTGCCCAGACCAGGAGAGCTGGGAAAGTCCTAGCCTGGGTGGAGTGGGGTCAGGTGTAACTCAGAGAAGACAGACTGACCCAGGCTGCAAGTGATTTGGTCTCAGTGGCCAATAAAACCAAGGTTTTTTGTTTTTTAATTTATTTAAATTTTTGTTGTTGAGAATACACACAGCAGAACATACACTAATTCAACAATTTATCCACGTACAATTCAGTGACATTGATTACATTCTTCAAGTTATGCAACCATTCTCACCCCCCTTTTCGGAGCTGTTCCTCCCCATTAACATAAACTCACTGCCCCCTAAATTTGCTATAATCTTGAGTTGCTGTCATCATTTTGTGTTCTTAAAAGAGCACAATGCTCAAGGCAGTCACTCCTTACTAATTAAACTATTGTTTGGTGTAAAGACTTCAGGGGATATTTTTGGTTTAAGGTTCAAGGTTTAAAGATTATCTCAAGGCAATAGTTTTGGGCTTCATCTAGCTTCATTGCTCCAGAAAGTCTGGATTCTGTAAGAATTTGAATTTCTGTTCTGCATTTTCTCCTTTTTGATCAGGATTCTTCTATAGAATCTTTGATCAAAATGTTCAGTAATGGTATGAAGCCAATGTTTTAAGGAGAACCTGAATTAAAAGCCAAAAAATTTGCCTCAGCAAAATGGCAACTGGGGCTGTCTCTGGTTAGTTGGATATAAGCGATTTAAAGCATTTTTTTTACTACCTCTTTTCTAACTTCCCTACAATGATCATGCAATATGTAATACCCAAAAACCCAACCCATTGCCACTGAGTCAATTCTGACTCATAGTCACCCCATAGGACAGAATAGAACTGCCTGTAGGGTTTCCAAGGAGTGGCTGGTGGATTTGAACTGCCAACCTTTTGGTTAGCAGCCAAATGCTTAACCAGTGTGCCCATGTAATAAATACATTTTAGTTTAATATATTTAATTTTCGTTCTTTTGTTCTGTTTTGTTTTTAGTATTTTAGAACTGAAAGAAAAAAAGCTTAAAACCTATTTCTTAGTTATGTCATAGCTTGAGGCCACATCAACTTTTGCCACCAGGACTCTATATCCAGCCCGAGCCCTCCTTTCGCTAATCCTAGAAAATGAGGAATTGCCACTGGGAAGTGAGTTGGGCAAAGGAATCTAGATGCTAAGCCCCACGAGGGCAGAGCTCAAGTCTGTCTTTTCTCACTGGAGCATGTCACAGCCTGGAAAACACCTGTCACACAGTAGGTGTTCAAGCAGGTGGAAGGCTTTGATGATGATGACTAGCATCCGTTGGCCACTTACTATGTGCCAGGCACCTTGAATGCTTTGCTTGAGTTGATTTGTTGGGTTCTCAGAGTAGTCCTAGGTGGCAGGCACCAAGTGGTCAGGGAATTGATGCAAGGCCACATAGCCGGTAAGCAGAGCTATTGGCCTCCATGTTCCCTGCTGTTAACCTCTATTCCACGCCTCAGTGGCTCCAGCACCATTAGGATAACATCCTGATTCCTTAGCTAAGCCCACAAGGCCCTGCATTATCTGGCCCCATCTCAGCTCTGTGGCCACATTCCCTCTGTTCCTGCCTCACAAAGCATTTCCTGTTGCCCAAACGCCTCATGCTGTTTGCACATCTGCATCTTTGCACTTGCCAACTCTTGTCTTCTTGGGGATGTCTTATTCCCTCCTCTGGCACTCTCCTCCCACCCCTCTTCAGAACTGACCAATCCCCACTAGTCCTGCAAGGCTTAGCTCAAGTATCCTCTCCCCCGTGCTGGTTGCCCCTTTCCTTGCTCCTACAGTACCCCATGTGTACCCCGTTACTGCCATCATCACGCTTCTGACACCTTTTGCTTGCTTGCTTGTCTCTCTCACTAGAATATAAGCTACCTGAGGGCAGAACCTTTTCATGACTGCCTATGTCCCTCAGTGCTTAATCCAGTGGTGGGCACATGGCAGGCCTCCATTAATGTTTGTTGGGTGAAAGGATGGGCAGTGAGGTAGGTGAGTGGATGGATGGACGGATGGATAGATGGACAAATGGATGGGTGGATGGACGAATGGATGAACAGATGGATGGGGAGCCAGGTGCTTACAAAGAAGTCTAGGAGGAAGACAGATATTATGCTTTGGTGGGAAAAAATGAAGGCATGGTCTAAGCCAGTCTCTCCTGGCCCTATCTCAGCCTCCTCCTGTCTCATCACTCCTCCCACAGCTTTTCCTGAACCCTATGACAATGGAGGGGGCTGTTTCACTTATCATGTCCATCAAGAGGAACCCCAAATCCAAGATGGAAGAGCTAGACATTTCCGTAAGTGATCAAATGGCAGTTGCTCACCTCAGAGTGCGAGGCAGCTACCATGCCACTCTGTGTCTGCCGGTGCTCGTACCTCTGCCTCTCACAGGCCCTCCCACAAATGCTCCGTGAGAAGGTCACTCCTTTTGGCTCAACTTTGCCTTCTCCAGGGGTCCATTCAGAAGGGGTAGCCGTTTAGTTAATGACAGTGTGTAATAATTTATCAGATCCTGGGATCTCAACACATGAAAACCTTCTGAGGGTGGACTTGAGAAGAGAAATAAAGGAAACACCATCTCGGAAGGCATGAAGTCCCCAAAACAGAATTCATTTACAGTCGGCTTTGCTGACGGGTGGTCCTGGATCTCACAATGGTTCCAGAATCACAAAATTTTAGAATATGGGTATTAAAACATGTACCTTCTTATATTTTTATTTCATGACTTGGCCTACTGTACTCAGAGTAGTATTTGAAGATGAAAGCCCTTAATGAAGGTGGAAAGCCCAAGGAGGTGACTTCAGACTCCTGCCAGATACTCGTACCACAGTGGACTTGAATAACCATAGAAGTGGTAGCTGGTATTAACAATAATATGCTGTGCTTGTCTATAATTTTTATACATTTCACCCAAAAGTGATTTTTTTATATGTCATCTCATTTGATCCTACTCTGAGAGGTAGGTCGAGTACTTTTCCTCATTTTGCCATTTCACATGTGAGGAAACTGAAACAGAGAGGTTAGGTCATTTAACTAGGACCACACAGCAAGTGAGAAACACAACAAGTAGACCCAGGGCTTCTACCTCGTACTCTGGAGTACAAGAGTTCGATACAGGCATGGTGTTAAAGCCCTTCTACATTTTTTTATGTAACAAATATGATGTTTTGTTAATATGATTTTAATGCCTTGCAATATCAGTGATAATTTGTAATACTTAAATTCCAGCTCCTTAGAACTGAGCGACAAGTAAAATTTGAATTTATATTTGCCACAGATTATAAAACATTACAAACATTACAGCTTTTTTTTTTAACTTTGTCCCCTCACCTCTTCCTCCCTGCCTGAGCTGCTGGGTCTTTCTCCTCTGCAGCCCTCTATCCACCCTCCTCCTACAGTTCTGACTTTGACCCCAGGATGCTACCTTGACCCCTACTCCACCCTGCCTCTGAGTCTCAGACATGGGTTGAGATTTTGGTGGCATTTGTTTCTTTCCCTGAAGTGCAGGCTGGAAGGCATAGACCTGGGCACTGCCTGAGTGTGTTTGCAGAACTTTAGAAATTGGGCTGTTTCAACACTAGATGGCACACAAACCCATTAGCTGTGATCACACTGCCACATAACAAGCCTGCCAGAAGAAAGAGGTCTGAATTAGCCTTTCCTTCCCTTTTGTCAACTATGCTGCCATAACTCTAAATGATGTGGGAATTCCTCCATTGTAGATGCTTCTAGAACTTTCTCTAGAATATCTACGAAGAGGGTAGTTCTTCAGCCCATAGGCCTCGGTTTAATTTTTTGAAAAGCCAAAAGCCACCCAGAACTACATCTGAGGAATGAAGCGAGTTGATCAAGTTGGTTGAGCCAAATTTGGTTGAACTCTCTCTCACAGAGCACGTTTTCTCCTGTGGCCCATCAGCCAGCTCTGAGGGCACCTCCAAAAGACAGTTCCCAATTCATTTTGAACCATGACAGGATTATTGGAATAAGGGGTCATCTTCCCAGGGCACCTGCTCAGAAGAAAAACCCTCACATAGATATGGACATTCCAGAATATTTGTTTAAAGACCAGTTGTGACTCCATAGTTGTAACATATCCGTCACGTACAGAAACTTACGGTCACCATCTGAGAGCAGAGCTGAGCTGACAGTGTGTTACAAGCCACCAGCACTCAATTAAAACATATGATCAAAATCATGAAAGAACCCGACAAGGTAAATCAGAAGCTCTGAAAAACCTAGAAGCAGCACTGCAGAATAAACTGGAAAAGACAAAACACCCTGACTTTAGCTTGGGTGGAAGGGGGGCCCGCTGGCCCAGGCAGGAAGATGGTACAATGGCAGGGCCATGCCTCCGTGACAGGTCCCCTCTCTCCCCCCACAGAATGTGCTGGTGTCTGAGCAGTTCGTGAAAATATTGGATGGGGTGTGTGCCCTTCACCCCCAGCTGGATGTAATATACAGGTCAGTGCAAGTCCTCTCCAGCAAGAAAACCACCCTCCTATGGACAAACCCCATGAAACTAATCCAGGTGAGCCTCTGCCTTCCTCTCAGAGCCCCCGGGAACCCTTGGAGAAAGCTGGCCCTTTAACACCAAATCTGCCATCCAGAGATCCCCCTCCCCAAAGTGTCTGTACTATCCTCTCTGACAAGGAACGTCTCAGTTCTTTGGACTGCAGACATAGAACATTCCCTGTAGATACCAGACTTCTCCACAGTGCTTCTCCACTCCCAGAGGAAGGGAAGAGCTGAGAACTGGTTGAAGTGGGAGGGTCTAGAACAGGAGGGATTCTACCACCCAGGCTCTATCACTTGCTAAATGTACGACCAACCTAGGGCAAGTCACTGAAGCACTCTGTGCCTCAGTTTCTTCACCTGTAAAATGGGGATAATAGCACCCACCATAATAGGGTTGCTGTGAAAATTACATTAGATAATATATGTGAAGTGCTTAGAACCATGCCTGGTATATTATTTTTTGTTATGTGTTAGATGCTGTCAGGTTGATTCTGACTCATAGCAACTCAGTGTGACAGGTAGAACTGCCCCATTGGGTTTCCTAGGCTGTAATCTTTACGGAAGCAGATAGGTCTTTCTCTCGTGGAGCCACAGGGTGCGTTCGAACTGCCAACCTTTTGGTTAGCAGCCAAGCACTTAACCATTGCACCACCAGGGCTCATAATAAGCACCCAGTAAACTCCGGCTCTTTCCAACAGCTAGTAAGGATGCCTAGACACCCCTGTGGTCAGGATGGCTATTTGGGGGTTCAGCTAAAGAGGGACACTCGAGTGCTTTATCACTCGAGGTAACCTGGACCTGGCTAGAGTCTTTTGTTACATTGTCTCTGGCAAGCACAGGGGGAAGATGTAAAAAATCAGAGCACACTAGACTGAAAGGGCCGTCAGAGCTCATCTAGTGCAATCAGCTCACAGAGCAGCTCCCAAACCTGGGTCTGGTGTTCTCCACCACCGGCCTCTCTCCATGTGGTTGCAGTGAGGAGCCCCCAGAGGTTACAGACCAGGAACAGGGATGCTGCTGTACAAATGCAGATTCTGCAGGGTCTGGGCCCCTCGGTCTGCTCCCTGGCCCTGACTGGTCTGCTCTATGCCTCAAGTGCCAGGACCAAACAGAGGCATTCTGGCATGTTGTGTCTAAGTTCTAGAAGGTAAACGGGTATCAAGTATTTTTACAAGATAACCTCAGCTGGGACCAAGGGGAAACTTGGTTTGCAAAACACCCAAAATGGGTTGCCAAGATGGCTGCTGCTTCTGCCATAATCAGGAAGCTGCACAGCGAGGAATCACCCACCCCCGCAGCTTCCCACAACTGTCTCACACATACATCTCACACACTGCTTGGCCAGACCCATGGCCCTCCAACACCCAGCAGCAAGGGGACTTGGGAAGTGTCCATTTTTAGCTTTCCAGCCTCAGCTGTGAGGGACTGGAGTGGGGTTGAGGGTTCACCCACAATGTCTGCCATAGCACTCAGTACAGCTTGTAGAATTGAGCCAAATGAGATTCACTTTGGATATGCTGGATGGAGGTACCCGTGTGGTGTCAGCATGGGATGTTCAACAACTGGTGAGGACGGGGAACTGGACATGTAGGCTTTGGGGTCATCCCAGAAGGATGAGAGTCAGGATGCTCCAGGAAGGTAGGGGTGGGGAACAAGAGCAGGGGACCAGGGAATGACCCCTGAGGACTCCATGTGAGTAGGGAATCTACAAGGAGCCCTACTCCTGGTGGAGCAATGGTTAAATGCTCAGCTGCTAACCAAAAGGCTAGCGGTTGAACCTATCAGTGGTTCTGCAGAAGAAAAGACCTGGTGATCTGCTCCCGTAAAGATTACAGCCTAGGAAACCCTATGGAGCAGTTCTACTCTGTCATATAGGGTCGCTAAGAGTCGGAATCAACTGGACAGCACCCAAGAACAACAACAAGGTCATCTACAGGAATATTTAGCAATACAGCAAGGCCTTGCCTGAGGTCTTCTGAGACTGGGAAGGAAGAGAAACAAAGATACTAAAAAAGGACTCCAAAAGAATGTTTTAATGACATTGAAAAAGTATTCACAAAGTTCTAATACAGTGTAGAGAACTTTTATAAAACAGTATTGCAAAAGAAAGATGATTCGGATAGATAGATAGAAGAAAAATACACAGCAAGATGTTACTTCTGAGAGATGGGATTGGATTTAAGGGCTATTTTTCTTTTTATACTGATCTAAAATTGTCCTACAATGAATAGGTAACATTTTTAAATGGAAAAAATGAAATATTATTTTTTTAACACCCTAACAAAGTATGCCTCCATATAACATTTGTGTGAGAACTATGAGAATTTCATGAATTCCTAGGATCTGTCCAACCCATCACAAGGTATAGTAGGTACATGGTTGTGATTTGGTCTTTTGATCTCTGAGATCACAACAGCTCACCCACCATCTACACTGTAGCATCTTCTACACTAGTCTTAACAGAGGTAATTTCAAAACTAAATGTTATATGTAAATATGACCACCAGCCTTTATTCCCTTGATGCTGTGGGACCTTCATAGCATTGACTTCAACCCTCTCATCTTTAGAATGGCATGGAGACTCTGCTCAGTGGTAGGTGGGGGTTACTCAAAACTGGGCAAGCACACGAGAACCATCATGACATGCAATGCTGCTGCACCTCGGCCTGTGCAGGGCTGTTGATATTAAACAACTGCTAACATATGGGAGACTCAAGCCTTCGTACAATCTCCTCAGCCTTTCTAGGGCAGGGAGCTTGGGTCACCCTTTGGCAGGCGGTAAGCTGTTAAGAGTTGTTATAACATTCATGTGTTTACTCCTGGTGTTTCCTACTTCTCTCAGACCTATGTGGACCAGCAAAAGATCACAGTCTTAGACTTCTTCAAGAGCTTGAACCCTGCTGGAACGATGACGATGCCTGTGGGGGAGTTCCGGAAAGCAATGATACAGGTGTGTTGATCCCTGGTGCTGTGTGTGTGTGAGTGTGTGTGTGAGAGAGAGAGAAACAGCGCACTTCATCGGGCCTCCTGGGATCGGCTGTGAGCAGCTCACCTCATTTATTTAGGCCAAGAGGGAAACTCAGACCTCCTTCAACACCCCTGCTGAGAGTCATTCGCTAAGCTGGATGGCTTGATGCCACTGATGACCCAAGACACCACTTGAAGACACACATTCTTCATCTTGTAGTCTTTCCATTGTGTTTGGTTATTAGGCAGATAACAAAAGGAATGAGACTACATTCCAAACACCCAATATTTCCACCTTTGGCCCTATCGTTGTGCTGGAAATCCCACGTTCCTCACCCCATATGATGAGGTTCTGAAGGCTCCCTGAAATGCAGACTTAAAGAGGGCCCTCAGAGCAGCCCTAGGAGGGAGCTGGGCCCTGAGGGAATAGGACTCAGGAGGGGAAGGTCTGAATGGGTCCCAGACAAAGACAGATAGGCCATTCAGTGTTCAGGCCCATGGTCAAGAGGGCTGGCCAGAACTAGGGAACAGAAAGAAAGAATGAATTTCACCATGCTGCAAAGGACAGTTCCTGACCACCCCAGGGCCACCCACTTCACTGACCTCTGATATCCTTCACCCTTATTGCTCCTTAGAGAAGGGAGACCTTCAGGAGTCTGGGCAATGACTCATAGGTGGGGCTCCTTCCTGCCCCTCCATATCGTGGGTTCAGTCTCTTCTGAGCCCTCAGCTGTCATCCATGGTCCTAAGAGGAGTGAGGCATTGTGTGCATGTGTGCGTGTGTGTGTGTGTGAGAGAGAGAGAGAGAGATGGAGGCATGGTAAAGAACTGTTGAGCAAGAAGACTCCATTAACTTCATATGTTCCACCCCCCTCCTCAGCAAAGCAAGGTACCTGTGAACCGGTACCAAATCAGGGAACTGATAAAGAAGCTGGATGAGAAGAAGACAGGCATGGTGGACTTCAGGTCAGCCCAGGCCCATTGGCCACCCCCACGCAGCTCCCAGCTTACACAGGCCCTGTCTGTCTACAAGGGGCCCTGGCTGGGTTGGCCTCAGCTTCTTATTAGGGCCTCCCCAACCCTGCGGCAAGTGGCTGCCTTTCTCCTGGTTCCCAAGTCCAGCCCTACTGTTTACTCTCCTTATCTTCAATCCACACATTTAGCTTAGTGAGCCCCAACTGTGTGCTGGCTGCTGGGCTTGATGCTGGGGCCGTAGGGCAGAAACAGCCAGAGCCCATTGCTCACTGCTCAATAGGAGGTGAGACTAGGAAGCAGATTGTAGGCCGTGGGACTGGAGGGAACAGTAAGGGAGACTGCATACAATGGTAGCCCAAAGAGGAGCTACCGCTTGGGTGGGAGGAGGTGATGTTTCAGCTGAGTCTGGCAGGACAGACAGACATAAACAAGAGGCGTGACTGCCCAGGCAGAGGGCAGCTAGGACGCTGTAGTGAGAGTAGGCCAGCCAGCTTGGTGCCCTGGGGGAACCGCAGGCCATTCAGCTGGGCTGCAGTTTGGGGAGTGAGGCGGGTTATGAGTTACACTGAATTTCTTGATGAGATGGAAAAGGCCACAATAACAGCAATCACAACAACCAGCACCCACTGTGCCCTCACCACGTGCCAAGTATTCTGCTACTCACTCAACAGGCACTGGGACCTGATTCCCAGTGTCCAGTGATAGCACTGTGATCACCCCTACTTTGTAAATGATGACGCTGAGCTTTAGCATCTGCACCTCACATCTGGAAAAGGGCAGCACTGGCCTTTGACCCAAGTCTGAGTGGGCTCACACCCACTGTGCTAGACCTCCTCACCAACACCAGCTGCCTCCCACCCAAGCATGGTCTAGAGTTTGGGGCTCCCACTGGGTCCCTGTGGCTTAGGAACTCTACTAGAAGGAGGTCCCCGCAGCATCCCGCTCCACAACCCCTTCCCCAGGTACCTTTTTCCTTTGCCTCATTCAGTGCCTTCCATGTGGCTCAGGTGCAAACCCTGCTCTGCTACTAGCAGCGGTGTGGCTGTGGGTGGACCCTCAACCTCTGAGCCTTAATTCCCTGTCTTTAACATGGGGGAGATAACCATGGCACCCAAGTGGGTTACTGAAGGGTTATATGCAGAAATACATGTAAAGCGACTGGCATTTGGTGGGGTCACTCAGCGGTGACACTGCCATCCAGACAAGGAGGTGTCAGAGGAGGGCTCAGGCTTGCACCCCTCCAATGGTGCCTCCCACTCATGTGCTGCTCAGATGTCTCTGTCCTGTACCTCCTGGCTGCCCTCCCTAAAGTGCTGCCTCTTGACCCTTGGGGAGCTGGGGCAAAGCGCCCCAGGCAGAGGCCATGAGGCCAGGTTCCAAGTTCAGCTTCTGCTGGAGGTGCACCACCTCTCCAGGTTTGTAGGTGAGGCCATGTGGCCATCAAAGGCAGAACTGGGACCGGGGTCCCCGAGTCTCAGAGTTGGGCGGGAGGCTCTTGTGGACACTCAAATAGCCCCTCGGATCACACACTGCTGCTTTATTAGTTGTGATTGAAAAGCAGAGATATCATTTGTATTTTTGCATAAATCTTTTTGTTGTTGTTGCCGATAGTATCTACTCGTAAAAATTCTAAGCCCACAGAAGTATAGCAAGGAGAAGCTGAAGGTTCTCTTTATCTCCCCCTACAGTTCACGCTCCCTCCCCAAAGTGCTCACGTGAATAATTTCAGGTGTACATTTCCATACTTTTTCCCATGTACTTGCAATCAAATGTGTGTCTGTGTATGTGTGTGCTGGTGAAGGAGAGAGAGAGAAAAAATGATTAAAAACAGGAGGTCTCGGGCAGGCCATCTAAATTTCAATCCAGGCTCCACTACTGTAGAACCTTGGGCAAGTTACCCAATCTTTCAGTGCCTCAGTTTCCTCATCTGTATTATGGGGCTAATAACAGCATCCATGTCATAGGATTTTTTTTTTTTTGAGGATTAAATGAGTTAATGCCTATAAAGCATGTGGTAGGCTCACAACACACGTGTTTTTATTATGTATGATTATACACACACAAACACACACAGGTAGTTTTTTCTTTACCAGAAGTGAAATCATAATACCATGCTCCTCTGTAATTTGCTGTCCTTTAACAATATGTCTTGATGATCTTTCCACGCTGGAACACTCAGACCCATCTCAGTATTTTAAACTACTGCGTAGCATTCCGTAGTACAGCAGCCTCGTACTTTAATCTCATGTTATGGACATTTACGCTACTTCTATTTTTTTTTGCTTCTACAAATAATGCCATTGCAAACATCCTATAAGCATTTGCACACATGTGACTGTTTCTCTAAAATCGGCTCAGGGGAATAGACCCAGTGCAATTACGTTCTATAATTAAAAGTTAAATTTTAAATTTTAAAATTTTTTAATTTCAAAAATTTTGAAATTGTCTCAGTGAACAACTAGCTCCTTTGCCACGAAACCAAAAGAACTGGATAGTGCCTGGCTACCATTACTGAACATTTTGATCAAAGATTCTAGAGAAGAATCCTGATCAAAAGGGGAAAAATGCAGAACAATTTCAAATTCTCATGGACTCCAGACTTTCTGGAGCCATGGGGGCTGGATGAACCCCCGAAACTATTGCCCTGAGATAATCTCTAAAACTTAAGCCAAAAATATCCCCTGCAGTCTTCTTAAAACCAAACAATATAGGAAACTAATTTGCTGTGTAAACTTTCACCTAAAACACAATAAAATATTTACAAACAAAAACAAAAAACAAACAGTAGTTTAAACTAGGAAAAAAATGTCTGCCTTGAGCATTGCGCTCTTTTAAGAACTGCATGTATCCATATGGGATCAGAGTGACAACAGCAACTTGAAAGATTAGATAAGAACCTGAGGGGGCAGTGAGTTTATGTTAATGGAGGAGGAACAACTCAGAAAAGAATGGTTGCACAACTCAAAGAATGTAATCAATGTCACTGAATTGTACATGTAGAAACAGTTGAACTGGTGTATGTTTTACTGTGTATATTCTCAACAACAACCACAAAAAAAAAGATTTAAATATAAATAATAAAACTATAAAATTACTAGGAAAAAAAAATTTAATTGCCCTGCAAACAGGCCAACCAGTTTTCTTTCACTCTTGCCAACAATGTAAACCAGCGCTTTCCCCCAGCCCCACACCAACACTGAACCTGCCCCACGTTCCACTTGCTGCCAGGGTGATAGATGGGTTTACAAAAGGTCTCCTTTGAACTTGAACCTGCCTTAACGTTCTATCAAGCAATCTGGAGGCTGAACTGGTGTTCATAGCTATTCTCTTACCTTTCAAAACAGTTCCTTGAAAACACCATAGCAACTGGTCTGGTCTGGAAAGAAGTACCAGCGCAAGAGAAGTCCTGGCAAGTTGGATGGTAGCAAGGAAAAGGCCAAGAGACGGCTGAAACGTCGGTGAACATATGCCAAGGCCAGGGCTGTGAGCGAGCAAATAAAGTGTGGCTTGGTTCTCGGCTCTCCGGGCCGCTGCTGCTGTGCCCTTCGCCGGGTGGGCGCACTCGGATGTTAGTGACCGCCAGGGGGCGCACCCTCCCGGCCTTGCGGAGGCCTCACGGACAAATTGGAGATGTAGTGGGGTTGCTAGGCGGCAGGGCAAAAGCGGAGGGGAGAAGGTCAGCGCATAGCAGCAGTTGCCAGAGTGATTGTAAACTGGGTCAAGGGGCGCGATTTCGGAGGTGCAGAGAGCAGAGGGAGCGGATGCTGTGGAAACAACGACAGGAAATTTTATAGACAAATGCCGAGGGTCACAGGGAGAAAGTGTCTAGCCGGCCCCGGCACTAACTGACCACGTGCCCTTGGGACCTCACTGGTTTCACCTGAAAACCGGAAAAGCTAAAATAGATATTTCCCAGTCTATTCTAAGAGGCTGTCATTCTGAATTTCTTTTTTAAATCCCATGGGTAACTGAGGAGGCACAAAGAGCTTAGCAAAAGTAGAAAAGAAATAGCTAAGATCGGGTGGGTAGAAAGGTTACCTCATGGTTGCGTTTTTATTAAATCGCCAGCTGTCATCGTGGTAGCACAAGCACAGTGCCTGGCACAAGAAATACTTGTTGAATAAATGAATACATTCACCTGGCACATTTGTTTTGGCAAGTGGTGGAAAACTGGGAAAGTTTTGGGGAGAGGGGAAGGCCAGTATCCAAGACCAACTCTGAATCACAGTGGAGGCATCTAAAGCTCAAACCACCAGCCTGTGGGTTTCACTTTGCTTCACCAAAGGTAGGGTGGAGGTGAACGCTGAGGCCTCTCTGCACATGTGACAGAATAATTATTTGAAATAATTTATGTCTCTTGCTATATTTTCCCCTATCTCTTCTTATTCAAGATCTTAGCCTCGGTGGGGTTTAGGGTCAAGGTAGAAGTTTCCAACAAGAGTTGAGTCCCAGCATGGAGTAAATGGTTGACACACTCAGCTGCTAACTGAAAGACTGGAGTTTTGAGTCCACCCAGAGGTGCCTTGGAAGAAAAACCTGGTGATCTACTTCTGAAAAGTTAGCCATTGAAAACCCTACAGAGCACAGTTGTACTCTGATACATATGGGGTCGCCATGAGTCATAATCAACTCGATGGCAACTGGTTTAAGCTCACTGGGGAGAACAGAACTTGGTGGAGGGGAGAGAAAGGGAGAAGTCACAAGGCACTGAGAGACGCTCCCCACGCTGCGGGGAGGAGAAGGAGGCTTTGGGTCCTGCAGAAAGCAGGGCATCTGTATCAGGCTGCTCTCCCACAGGACCTCCAAGCAAACAACTGAATCTGGGGACTAAATTCTTGGCCTGGGCTCCCAGCCTCGTCACAACTCTCTTACCCCAAACATGGCATGAATGCAGCAGATCAGCAGCCCTGATGAAACCCTGTAGGTCAGACAGCAGTAATCAGCATGGACAGATAATCAGTGACCAGAGGGGATTCCCCAACACTGTAGCA